CCCTAAAACTGTTAAATATCACATCTCTCATATACAGGTATAAATATGTATAATTATCTGCAATTTATCTTTCCAAATATACTGTAATTATGTATAATCACATACATAGAAATTACATATGAAATATTTTTAATATCGATACACTGTGTTAAATACATAAATATTAGAAAACTCTACTGTCTTTTTAAGAGTTTCACCATTAATAATTATTTGTACACATGAAGGATCAATCTTATAAACACACCATGTCTACTATCCAATTCTGACATGAAGCCTTTGATTTGAAAACATTGTCCCCGATATTCTACAAAGAACAAAATGATTAGAAAACTAGTTCATTTTAATATTTGTTAGTCAAACATACATGAAAAATTAGTAAAATATATAATTTTGGGGGCAACGTTTCACTCATGTTCTCAAAGAGCAAACTCTCTCACAGTGCTCCAAAAAGGTGAGTTCTCTTTCCATATTTACACATCTTATATTTAGAAATACCCAAGGACTTCTGAGGTTATTTTTATTTTATACTTACCTAGTTTTGTGAATTTGAATATTTTTGATTTAAAGTTTTGGTTAGTCCTTCTCATTGAAGATGGCAAATGAACCCGTGCCTAGCTATTGTCTTATTCATATCAATAAATACTCACAAAAAGAGCTTTGATGGACAGAGCGATATAAAGCCCAGGAGAAGCTGAATAAACAGTTCCAGCTTTGAATCTGGCTTATATAAATTCATGAGGGTCCCAATATTAATTTGGAACATGAGGATTGGAAGAAGTATCATTTTATAGATGGAGAAACTGTAAATTTGGAAAAATGCAATTCAGGCAATAAATTCGTTCCATACTACTCAGTTCAGTTTTTTCTAGAGGCTGGCGACACAGCAATGGCTGCCACAGATAAAACTCCCTGCCCTGACGGAGCTTACATTCTAGTGGGTAGAATGAGGTGTTTAACACCACACTGGTTAGTAGCAAAGCCGAACGAGAAACCCGATTTTCTGAATCTCAGTCTTGCAATATTATGCCACAGTTTGGGAATACATAAAGTCTGGTCTTACTTATTTTGCAAACAGAG